CAAACAGCACGTCATGACTGGCCTGAGGCCTATGACTGTATGACTGCACTTGGTTACCGTATTTTCCGGGGTATAAGCCGCACCGGGGTATACGCCGCACCCCCTTTTTGAGGCAAAATATTGACTAAAAGTTGGTATTCGCAGTCTAAGCCGCACCCACAAACCAAGATTTTTCACGCTCATTGACAAATGGCCTTTCTACAAATTTATTATGGTTATGGAGCTAAATACCATGTTAGATCAGATTATGAAGTGTTAGTGCACCACAGGTTGCTGCAGAGATGTTGGTCTGTGTTGACTACAGATCACTCCATGTCATCTGCGCGAAGCTGAGTCGAATGACATGTCACATGACGTCAGCATGCATACTGATGTATGCTAAGCATTCATTCGCGCAAGTATATTCGGTGTATAAGCCGCAGGGGCGATTTTGGTCCGATTTTTAGCGAAAAAAAGTGCGGCTTATACCCCGGAAAATACGGTATCATGTGGCCTTTACAAGAAATTGTTCGTTATGAACGAAAACAGTGCGGTACGATGGGTCAGTTTTGTATGGGTTCAAAGAGGGACATGGACACTGGTTTGCTATATCGCGACATTCGCTATATGCGAGTTTGTTATAAGTGGAGTCGACTGTACCTGGTATGCTTGTAGTGCTGCTAGCACGGCGACATCAATGTCCCTATACTGTAGTATAGTGCATTTCAATAGTACATGACATCTGCTTTCCAAAAAATGGGTTAGGCCAGTAAAATCTCTCATCACTTTGTGAATAAATTGTCCGAGAATGGGCGTTTGTCATCCAATTGCGTAGAAATCTATACGAGAAAAAATAGTGTTGGCATAGGAATGTGCTGTTCACAGAGTCACACGTCTATGCATGGACTGGGTGTGTATCATGCGTACATGTACAGTGGTCGCCAAAAAAAATCCGGCCAATGCTAATAGTACATGTACCAGGGATACAATAGTATGGTACGCGTTCACGGCGGTGCTTGCATGTAGGCATTGGCGGATAATGCTCGAAAAGCAGTGAAATTGGCAGAACCATACAAACCTTATGGCAGGCAATTCCTCAAATTCTGCTCCATTTCTTTATCCACATACCAAATATGCATGAAACTTACCAGAAAAAGTACCGAATTCTGCCAATTTTTCTGCCGGCATTATCCGCAAAGGCCTACTTGCATGCCACCAAGCGCTTGGTATGCATGGTGGTATGCATGCGTTTTACTGGCCTTAGTTGCTGAAGCAGCACAGCATTGAACAGTCTGCACTGACTGCAGTCCAGCACTACACTGGCTAAGCTGAGGAGTGAGGCCCGGCAGCGCATGTGCCGTGCACTAGTGCCGTGCACTAGTGGTAAGCAAGTGCATGCCGCCCGTGTACAGCTAGCATAGCATTGGCCGGATTTTTTTGGCGACGACTGTACTTTGCGTTAAGTTGCCGTAAAAGTCCGTAAATAAGTACGTATTTACTTTTGAATTTAGTGGCCACACCCGTACTAACTTTCGGGCGGGTACTGCCTTTCGGGCATGAACTAACTTTCCGGCCTGACTTGTGTGTAGTGGTGAAGTCATTTTTATGTAGATGTGCATGCTACATGCTGCATGTGCGCACCGTGCCGGTACTTATTTCGGGCAGTATGTTTATCGGGCTTGACTTGACTTCAACAGACAGAGTCAAAAGAATGAAGGGGGTATTTATTTCGGGCAGGTACTTATTTACGGACTTTTACGGTAGTGTTTATAGTGTTGCTTGTGAATACACTGAGTGTAATGGTTGTGTATGTGTGTGTGTGTGTGTGTGTGTGTGTGCACGCGCGTGTCTACATGTATGTGTGTGAATGCGTGTGTGTGCGTGCGCGTATGCTCACGTCGTACGATTGCGATATCACTTCGAATGCGCACCTGCTTGCAGATCATCACGTTCCGGCCTGAGCTGATCCCGTACTCGTCGCTGGGTAAAGTACTGGGACCGTTCCTTGTCTACGTGTCAGGGCTGCATACACTTACTCTGGGAATGTGAGTACTGGTATGCACTAGACAGCTGGACGGTCTAATCCGCCCTGTCCTCTCACACATTAGGAGAAGTACTACAGTACAATGTGCATGCATGAACGCATGGAAAAGTGTAACGTACGAGGGATGTAATTCACACTGTATGGATTAACATGAAATAAGTTACACATTCACATACAGAGTGCTGTATGCCCTCAAAGCAGAGCTTCAGTCAGAGGAGAGAGAGACAGAGACAGAGACAGAGAGAGAGAGAGACAGAGAGAGACAGAGAGAGACAGAGAGAGAGAGAGAGAGAGAGAGAGAGAGAGAGAGAGAGAGAGAGAGAGAGAGAGAGAGAGAGAGAGAGAGAGAGAGAGAGAGAGAGTAAGGTTGTACAAGTAATACATGTAATGGCGACCACTCGGATATGGCGACCACATTTCCTTGTCATGGACGCATGCACATTCAAAACAGCTCGGGTAAGGCGACCACTCGCTCAACGCGACTGGCGACCACCCACCCGCGACTGTGTTGCACAGTGCTAGTACATGTAAATGTACGCATTGCATGGTGCACCATGCATGGTAGATCTACACATCAGTGCAGGAAGTGTAGATGTGCATGGTGCGTGCACGACACTTGACAGGTCTGAGGACCCCAGGCACATGAGTCGTGCTAGAGTAGCATAGGTGTGTGCACTGTGATACACTGATCGAAATGATGTATCACATGTGGATATGGTCACGTGACCCACTGAACCTGGATAAGAAGACCACCTGGCCACGGCGACCACTTTTTCTCGTCTCTTGAGGGGTCGCCTTAGACAGGTTTCACTGTACATGTAGGAGGCTTTGCAGTTTACATGTTACGTGACATGCAAACTGCCCCCTCTGTATCTGTACAAGGCTCTGCGCCCAGGTGTATCAAACACACACACTCACACACACACACACACACACACACACACACACACACCACACACCACACCACACACACACACACTCTCTCTCTCTCTCTCTCTCTCTCTCTCTCTCTCTCTCTCTCTCTCTCTCTCTCTCTCTCTCTCTCTCTCTCTCTCTCTCTCTCTCTCTCTCTCTCTCTCTCTCAAGCTGCCACATTTCACTTCAATTGTCGACTGGACTTAGAGTAAAGAACATGCTGTGTTCAAATAATAGCAGCGTGACTGATTGCGATCTCGTGTGTGTGTGTGTGTGTGTGTGTGTGTATGTGTGTGTTTTATAGATTCTATTTTGCAGTCGTAGCACACGTTGGTGAAGCGCTTTGGGCACTGATGCTTTGCAGGTGAGCGCAGCATTCGTATGTAGTATGTACTGATTGCAATGCACAGCGCTCTGTCACTAAGGGGAGCACTGATACGAGAATGCTTCGCTTTAGGGAACTAGCATTTGCAGCTCTGCAGATTTGAACTCTTCAAATCGCCACACTGTCCAGGGAGTTTAGACTAGATAGAGTTGAGATTAGATAGAGTTGAGATTAGATAGAGTTTAGACTAGATAGAGTTGAGATTAGATAGAGTTGAGATTAGATAGAGTTGAGATTAGATAGAGTTTAGATGCAGAAAACTTGGCCTCCAACCGAGTCTCGCGTGAACCGTGATTTCTTCTAGAGAGTACATCTGCATGCCGCTTATCCGGCGGCCAGTTATCCGACGCGTCGGTTATCCAACAGCGCACTGACAGCTCATACACTGTATATACAGTCCCGCTGGCTTTTGAAAGTCGGATTTGGGCCGAATTGAGAATCAAAAACCCACTTTAAATCTCGAAAATCTGGGTTTGGGATCTGCTTCTCAATACATTTTTCCATGGCATACCTGTCCTAATTTTGTAAAACCTGGCTGAATTTCTATTTCCCTGTTCTTGGACTTTTTGGCCTCAAATGTGGCAAGGAGTAATTGCACGGGTCACACAATGCAGGATGCACTGTTATTTTCACGAAATCTGCAACTATGTGTGGGAGACGGCAAAAAGTTAGGGTGCCAGTTTCCAATGAATGGAAACTGTACTGTAAAACCGGGAAGTTTATTCCCGTAGCTATGCAGAAGACGTTACTTCAGTAACGTCTGGCGCTAGCCAGGGTCCACACAGCTTTAATTTGGTGTTTGTTTGTTTGTTTGTGTCACGCCTGGCGCTATCCCGTATCTGTCCCGTACCGTATCGCACAGCTGGCCATTTGCTGGCTCCCGTATCTGTCCCGTACCGTACCGTACCATCAAACACAGCTGGCTACAACCAGCTGACCACAATATTATGTACAATGTACATGTATACGACTCCCTGTGTGTTGCAACTGTGCTTGAAGGGGATGGTTGCACTTTTTGTAGCTCCGTTTTATCTGAGTTTTCAGTCGTTCCTCTTACTAGTCTTGCCAAGGGGGTGGCTCTGGGTCCACCAGAGTTGCCCCTGGCGTATTTCTGAATTTGCTGGGGCGAGGGTTCCGCGACGCGGTTGCCAAGGCAGTGTCTTTTCAGTCACGACCGTTGTCGTCCTCGTCTCTCCATTCGCGGTGGTGTAGCTGACCCCCGAAAGGTTTCAAACTGCGAAGCTCGGAGGAGTATAGTGGTGGCAGAGGCATGAGCTGTGAGTGGAGACGGTTGCTGGAGATGGATGGTGATGCAGGGAGAAGAGTTACGCTGCCTGACGCCGCGTGGGAAATTGTTTGAACCTGCAATTTCAGTTCGAGCGTGGTGGACTTCTAGACGATGTGTCCTCATGGCTGTTTTTCAACGCTTGGCCTATCGCTGATATCCCTGCGTGGGATGTTCTTCCAGTGGAGTCCAGGTGCGACTTCGGGTGCCCACACTCCATCACCTGGTTGATTGTTTCGGAACTGCAAAAATAATTATTGTTTCCTATTTTGTGCGCATCTCTTGTCATCTCTCTTTTCTATACGTCGCACACCAGATGTACTACTATCGCCGTCTTTCTCTTGCTTTCTCTCCCTGCTTGCTGTTTTTTGTTTCTGTTGCCACTGTCCCTCATCATACACATGCTTGGGTGGTGGGCGGCGTGACCCGTTAGGGTAGCTGCCAATACAGTACGACTCCCTGATGTATAGAGAGACTTTCTGGAAAGAAATAGGGAGACGAGGAGGAAATGAAATTAGAATGGATGTTAGTTGCCGAATAGGTGATAGGATGCGTCAGCAAAAACATACTTTGGAAGAGAGATCCCGTTGTCTCCAAAATAGGCGTGAACGGGCGAGTCAGCGCCGGTCACAGGAAACGTCGGCAGAGTGATCCCGTCGACTCCAGAACGCGCGTGCTCGGCAGAGTCGGCGCCTTCCCAGGAAACATTTCCATCAGTTCCCACAACATGCACGATGAGCTAAGTAACAAAGCATAGCGTAGGGCCCTGAGCTTCCAAGCTCTCTCGTTAACGACCAAAAGGTTTATAACGTTTTTTTGTAATTTTTGAAGAAGGGCTGAGGCTTCCTGCAGCTTCATCTGTGAAAAGAATTCGGGTGGACACACCCATTCCCATAGCGCTGCACATCACATCCGAACCAGTTCCGTTATTTTTACGTTTCGGCACTTGGCCATCGTCCGGTGTTAACAATGAATACCGTGGAAGCCACACAAGAGCAGTATATACGCAGAGTGTAGCGCCAAAGAAGATGCGAATTATGTCACCTAGTATGCAGAAGGGGGACAGAGAGAGAGAGAGAAAAGGCGCAACTAGCACATCACGGAGAAGAAGCAGCAGAAGGTAGAAGGTAGCACGCATTGTGCTCTGTGAATGGCGTTACGCAGAGTGTAGCGCCAAAAAATAAAATGATGCGAGTTATGTAGGTATTCATTGTTAACACCTGACGATGGCCAAGTGCCGAAACGTTGTAAAATTAACGGAACTGGTTCGGATGTGATGTGCAGTGCTATGGGAATGGGTGTGTCCACCCGAATTCTTTTGTAATTTTGGCTTGATAAGGCCATCATTTTTTATATCTATGTTTCGCGTCGTCCGCACGCATACGTTTTGATTTTTTTCGGAAAAAATAAAAAAATCAAACATGCACAGTGAGTGTACGATCGTGCGAGTCATCAGTGTGGACTGGTTGCAAACGGCGAAGCTGGGATTCAGAATTGGCCTCGAGGCCAGCGTTGATAGATCGTTTGTTCTGCATCTGCGAGCAGAATTCTTTGAGCTTACACCAGACCGCATCGATCGCCTCAAGCTGAGAGGATGCGTCGTTTCGGAGCTCTTTGCACCGCTGCTGAAGGCTGAGTACAATAATCCAGCGAAGCATGGGCACCAACGGTTGCCTCCTCTGTCCAAAGCGAATATTTCCTCTTGCTGATAACTCAGATTTTGTGCTTCGATGTACGATTTTTCTTTCGAATGTACACCATGCACGAGCTATTGACAATAATTAATAGGCTATGTAGTACATGTATGTACAGTGCTATACACCTCTGATGAGCCTTTTTATTATTTTGCAACTTTTTATTTCTTTCCACCTCTCGCATATGATTCTGGAAGTTGAACTGACGCGAAACATAGATATAAAAAATGATGGCCTAAACGTGCAGAAAGTTTAACAATGTTTGTACAACGTAAAGAACATGCATCGATGCATACGCATCTTTACACAGACATCTCAAACCGGGTTCACGATAACTTTCCTTCGAATAACAAAAAAAGATGGGTCGTTAAAGTGTTGTGACTCGTTGGACTTTCCGGTTTTACAGTTAATGTGTACAGTGTCGTTGTCAACGTCCTGGACGCTACCTTTATGGAATAATGATGGATGAACACGACGACTGTCTCAGGAAAATACAGCGTTGCTCAGTGAAATCCAGTCGCCTGACTCAAGTATGCGCCGGGCGTTGCGCAGCCCGAGACCTGCGAACACTGACTGGGCTGCGAAATGATGCAAGGCGCAAACTTGAGTGACGCGACTGGATGTCATTGATCAGCACTGCACAAGTATTACGGGCAGAACAGGCATATACAGTGGAGAGTTGGGACTGACTCAGTCTTTCATTAGCAACACCATCCCGCTCAGTCACTGATTCAGTGTGTCCCCAGCCTTTCCACGCGAGCTGTGTAACATGTTGGAATACCGGTACAGTGTACGCGGCTCATGTGTGCATGGGTGTTTGTGGATGGGTGCGTGTGTGGATGTGTGTGTGTGTGTGTGTGTGCACGCGCGTGCGTATGTGTGTGAGTGGGTGGGTATGTGTGTGTGTGTGTGTGTGTGTGTGTGTGTGTGTGTGTGTGTGTGTGTGTGTGTGTGTGTGTGTGTGTGTGTGTGTGTGTGTGTGTGTGTATTTGTGTGGGTGGGTATGTATGTGTGTGTGTGGGGGGGGGGGGGGGTTCAGTGTGGCGAGAGCTTTCTGAAGCTCTAAAGTCCTATCGCACCACAGGACCTCTGTAGATGCGTGTGTTTATAGTTGTGAAGAAGACAACAGCTGTTGCTTTGTACTCATCTGTGTGTGTGTGTGTGTGTGTGTGTGTGTGTGTGTGTGTGTGTGTGTGTGTGTGTGTGTGTGTGTGCACGTGTGTGTGTGTGGTGGTGGTGTGTGTGCGCGCGCGCGCGCGTACATGTGTGTGTTTGCACTCACGTCGCCATGTGCATATGTGCCCGTGTGTGTGTACATGTGTGTACGTGTGTGTACGTGCTGTGTCGGTTTCCCACACCGCTCGCTGATTGCAGAGAGTTGAACATGACCGGCCTGGTAACTGCCATGTGGACACTGCAGGTCTTCATTGTCGGATTTCCCGCTCTCAACCTGCTCAGGCTACATCGCAGCCACAGTACGCTGATGGGCAAGAAGCTTCAGTGAACGGTGCTCCTTAACGTTTAGTCTGCTTGCTTTGCCAAATGCTCTGGGACTACGTTGACAGTAGTAGCGCTCTGCTGGCTCAAACAAGCACCTTGAGTTGATTGACTTGAAAGTGGGTGCGTTCGCTGCCCTTTGTCAAGGTGTTTTAGGAGGCCGTTATCCGGTGATAATGTGTGGTGCGTCAAAGAGCAAGCCTCTGCGCACGATTTGTGGTGCTCTTTGTTGAAATTATTTTTCGATTTGGACTTTAAATGGGCTGTGTAACACAGTGCACGAATTGTGGAGTGTGCGCTTACGGATCTCTCTGTCTGTCTGTCTCTCTTTCTCTCTGTATCTCTTTTTTCTCTAACATACCTGTAATGAAACACTTCTCTAGAGTGTTGTGCATTATCCTACTGAGTCTGCTCGTCTTGGATTGGTGAGGTCGCTGGTAACGCTTGAAACCTATGGCTGTCAATGTCCTCATTTGGCTGGTGATCATAGTGCGAGAGAAATTCTCCTGGCGTGGATGGTAGAATGCGAGTGTTTCGACGGCAGCGCAAGTGCTTTTCGGTCTGCTCGCTGCATGTATGTGCAACCAGTGTTGTCATACGAGACCAGTGGCAGTGGTGGTGGCGCTGCTGCTGAGTCCTGTTGACCACTTTGGATATGGCCCTGGGGCTACTTCTAGTAGTCCTGTCTGCACAGTTATCACCGGGAACTAGTACACTACCACTCCCTGGTTAGCACCACAGTCATGGTTGTGGGGGTACCGGGTTGCTGGGGTAGGCATGTCGGCCCCACTTTGTGGTAAAATGCCCCGGCCCTCTCAATAGCCAAAACAGTCATTGCATGTACAATTATTAGACTACAGAACTGCACTGTTGAGCTGTACATGTGAAATAGTGGTAGCGACTTTGGAGATGTAGACGGTCAGTCACAGAAAATTAGGGGTGTGGGTCTCCTAGCCTAGACCGTTCTTATTTTCATGTATTACAGTCTATGGGTAGTCGAGTCACTGTGTATACATGTACATGCGTATGCTGTGCTTGGTATAATTCTAGACTGGTCGTTCTTCGGCGCCATCAAACTTTTTGGTATTTACTTGCGAGAATGCATGATCTTTGGGGAATGTTCTTTGAGCAAACTGCAGCATTTCTCCCATCGTGTTTGTAGGGTCTAGCATCACTGTTCTCGTGGAGGGCTACAACATGACGTCCCACCGGTACTGTAAGACCAGATATTTTAACGTCAATTAAAGATAACGATCTCCGGATTTTTGTGGGTTAGCGAGGTGAAATTCTAACGAATCCTGTCTCAAAACCGGCGAAGGACGGTACATGTACATATCGTTCTGCACACCGAAGGATGTACCCAGAGTGCTGACAGTGCTCAACACCACAAAGGCAGGGCGTAATACACAACAGAACAACCTTGTTGTTCTGTTGTGTATCGTTTTGCACACAACGACTTCAAATGTTTAAAAAACGATTCTTTCAAATTCGTTAACATTACTGGTCTTACAGTACTTTTTCATTGAGCTCAGGGTTGACTGTGCATGTGGTCAGCGGATGGTTTAGACACCAGCAGTATGGTCCAGTGTGCATAAGTTATATGTATCTGGAAATACCGAAGGATGTACCCAGAGTGCTGACAGTGCTCAACACCACAAAGGCAGAGCGTAATAGTAATACACAACAGAACAACAAGGACAATCAAGGCTTGTTTGCTTGCCTGATGATTGCGTGAGCATGAAACTTAAAGTAGCAGCAAACAAGCCTTGATTGTCCTTGTTGTTCTGTTGTGTATCTGGAAATAAAAAGGACACCCGACCAACCGCTGAAATTCTGGCCATGTTACCCAAAACGAAGACATTATTCAGTCGGCCTTGGATATTTTACTTCTGACGTCATCGCGTTCAACTCCTGTTCCCTTTGGGTGGGGAGGGGGAGGCCGAGGGAGAGGGGCATCGGACTGCTTTCCCATCGTCTTATACCTATCAAGGAAGGTGGTTCCGGCTTCGAGGCGTCGATCCCTCCGAGGACATGCCGCATGCACCTTTGACAATGCCTTCCTTGTCCGATGCTGCAACTACAGTAATTAGTTACTTCGGCGGTGAGTGTTGAAGAAGGTGGCTACTCCTAACGTTGGAGCTCACGCTTCCTGCTGGCTGACGGTCGACCCCACTACAAGACACACATGTAAAATTTAATGATGTACATGTACGCAACATATTCAAACATCAGAACAGAACAACAAGGACAATCAAGGCTTGTTTGCTGCGACTTGAAGTTTCATGCTCTCGCAATCATCAGGCAACATCCAAACATCATGTATCAACATTAATTTCGGCCTTTCTTTATTCCCGTCGCGCGTGGGTCATAGATGTTCTCGCGTTTGTGGAGAAGGAGAAAGGAAAGGAGTGCAAAGTCCAAAGCTATACTCCAGCGCGTCAGTGTTCCAATTGATCATACCAGTATTTGAATTGATTGTTATACTTCATTGCATTCCCAACTCATCACAACCACGCGCTCTTCAGCCGAACCATACAGACACCAGCAAGGACACTTCCGTTGAGAGATAATAATTATTGCTCCACGCCTCTAGACAGCTGTTTCGCTCCCTGTCGGAGCTCATCAGTAGAGGATGATAATGATGATAATGGAGGAATGATCATTCTTATACACCAGAAATGGCGCAAGTGCAAATATGGCCGAAAGCTCTGTCGCAATATTTAGTTCTGAAGATTGTTATACTTGATCAAGTAATTCGAGGTAGTTTACTGACTTTGTTTGATGATAATCATAAATGTGCAATTCATTGTGCCTGTACAAGAGGCTTTACTCTACTAACAAGAGTACATAACCCCCCAGAGTGTGCAACTCCCACATGCCCTGTTGTCCCGACAGAATTTCAAGTTGACGTCATTATTTATGACGCAATGCTCCTTGCAGCAGTGATTTACAACATGTGTACGGGTGTCAACGCATCACACGTTTTTCTTTGCAATAATTTGTACAGAATCGATCGGCTTTGGTCAACCACAGGTTCTGGATTCGTCTGATAATCCGTGTACAGTGCGCATTGCATCATCAAAATGACGTCAACTTGAAATTCTGTCGGGACAGCACCCATAGTGGAGTTGCACACTCTGGGGGGTTACCGTATTATCTCTAATATAAGCACAGTCTCCAATAAAAGCACGTCTCCAATAATAGAACACCTTGGGGCGGCATTCAAAAAATAAAGTGCTCAGTCTCCATTATAAGCACACTGTGTAAATTCATTATCTGTACCGGCGAAAAAAACCCTGAAATGTATGCGTCATACATGAATTTGGCATGGCAACATGCCTCTGAAATGAGGTTGAAATAATAATGGAACAGTCTCCAATAAAGGAACGTCTCCATTAATAGCACGGGGCGGAGGTACATTGAAAAAATAAAGGACCGTGCTTATATTAGAGATAATACGGTATGTACTCTTGCTACTAACAAGAGTACTGTTGTGGTAAGCCTAGAATTAGGCATATGCGGATAATGCCGGCAGAAAAATTGGCAGAATTCGGTACTTTTTCTGGTAAGTTCCATGCATGTTTGGTATGTGGCTAAAGAAATGGAGCAGAATTCGAGGAATTGCCCGTCATAAGGTGTGTATGGTTCTGCCAATTCCACTGCTTTTCGAGCAGAATCTGCCACCTTTTCGAGCATTATCTGCACACCCCTACCTACAATGTAGAATTGATTACTGACGAGCAGAATGCTTTGTGCCATTTCGCATTCTTGTTAAAATATTATCGCGTGTGGGGATAATCTTTTCGCAGGCACGGTCGATCAAGGCCAGATAGAATAATAAAGAAAGGAACAAAAGGGGCTCTGTCCTAGTATAGTTACATCAGTGCTCCTTCTACTGTCGTGTTCGCCAGCAGTACAGCGCCTTGCAGGACCGCCGGAAGCAGTTTTCGATTGGTCCGGTAGTATTGTGGCCTTTCATAACTTTGTGTATGAACAGGGTGGATACACATGCCCTCCACAGGTGTAAACATGACATCGTGTTGGTGGCCAAAAGCCTTTGTTCGGTTCCGGCAGTAGGCATATGCGGACAATGCCGGCAGAAAAATTGGCAGAATTCGGTACTTTTTCTGGTAAGTTTCATGCATGTTTGGTATGTGGATAAAGAAATGGAGCAGAATTCGAGGAATTGCCAGCCATGAGGTTTGTATGGTTCTGCCAATTTCACTGCTTTTCGAGCAGAATCTGCCGCCTTTTCGAGCATTATCCGCCAATGCCTAGTATTGTGGCCTTTCATAACTTTGTGTATGAACAGGGTGGATACACATGCCCTCCACAGGTGTAAACATGACATCGTGTTGGTGGCCAAAAGCCTTTTAATTGTTCGGTTCCGGTTCCGGCGGGCCTGCCTTAGCCTAGCAGTCTGAAGAACACTCACCAGGATCATGTCGACATACCGACCCAACAGCAGCAGCTCGCCAGCAGCTAGCACAGTAGTAGCAGGGATTTAGGGAGTCGTAGAACGAACTAACTTGCTCCATAGCTTTACATAGCACAGCATTACATAGCCCTTTGCATACTGTAGCTCAAGACTACAGCCAGTACAGGCTACAGACTAGTAGAGTACAGTGTAGATCGATCAATCAGGTCCTGGAAAGTCACATATCGCAGGGAGTCCTTTTGAAAGTAAGAGTAATTGTAAAT